TTTCTTTGCTGTAGGCCCTGGTGTTGGGCCTATCTTTCTTGGACATTTTTAATTACTTATTGAGTCAATTAACCATCCTCTGCTACCAGCTTGTTGCAATATTTCCAGGATCAGACTCAATAAAGATAATAGAAGTTAAAGCTTTAAATATATTTCTTTTTAATTATGATAGGCATTCTATATTCACTGAATATTCAAGGTAGAAGCAACGAGAATGGTGAGGGTGGCTCCTTATATATACAAGGGGTGGAGCTAGGAATGGGAGTGGTAAGTTATGAATACATTAAAGTCCAAAGAATAAGTTAACCTCTGATGTTCCTATATACATTATTTACACATTGGAGAATAAGGCATTTACATCTGACACAAACAAACATACAATACATAATCAATCATTCAGTGTATCTTCTTGATGTTTCTATTGTGTCTTCATCTTTTTCTTCTTACTCCTCCGATCTTCATCGTTCCTTTATTTTTCCCATTTCTTTATTATAACATTCTCCCCATACTTCATTTATTATAACATTTTCTTGTTTACTATTAATGCATTTATCTATCTCTCTTCTCTAACCCATTGTAAAATTGTCTCCATACCTTGTAATATTCCGTATCCTCGCTCGTAAATCTTGAGGTTCCTCAGGTCAGGTGGCCTTTGGGTCAGGAGAACATGTAGAGTTTGTTATTTGGCTTTTGTTTATTAAATATGGGCAGGTAATCCTTGATTTACAACAGTTCATTTAGTGACCATTCTAAGTTACAGCAGCATTGAAAAATGTGACTTGTTATTTTCTCAGTAGCAGCCATTTTAAGATGTGAAAACTTCAACTCCCAGAATTCCCCAGCCAGACATGTTGAGGTTGAGTTGAGGTTGAGACATCTTTAAAAAAAAAAAAAAGCTTTCCAGGGAATGATGGGAATTGAAGTCCCACCTGTCTTAAAGCATGCTGGCTGGGGAATTCTGGGAGTTGAGGTCCAGCCATCTTAAATCATACTTGCTGGAGAATTCTGGGAGTTGAAGTCTACCCATCTCAAAGCATGCTGGCTGGGGAATTCTGGGAGTTGAGGTCCAGCCATCTCAAAACTGGAGAATTCTGGGAGTTGAAGTCCACCCATCTTAAAGCATGACTGGCTAGGGAATTCTGGGAGTTGAGGTCCATTTATATTAAAGCCTGCTAGCTGGGGAATTCTGGGAGTTGAAGTCCATTTATATTAAAGCCTGCTAGCTGGGGAATTCTGGGAGTTGAAGTCCACTCATCTTAAGTGACTCAATTTGAGAAACGTGGCTCCTTCATTACTGAGTTTTGAAAAGATCTGGCTTTTTCAGCATGCTTTGAAGGTCTGAGAAATTTTTTTATCCATCCTGCCGGATCAAAATCCCTTTATTCTGGGATTGGTTGCTAATTGTGTCTGGCATTATTGTGACTAGACATTTTCTATGTATTTTATTTTTGATCCAATTAGAGCAGAGGTCTTCAAACTTGGCAGCTTTAAGACTTGTGAACTTCAACTCACAGAATTCTCCAGCCAGCATAGCTTGTGAGTTGAAGTTCACAAGTCTTAAAGTTGCCAAGTTTGAAGACCTCTAAATTAGAGTATCGGTTAATATTGTTGTTCAGTATGCTTGAAGCAGGACATAAGATCAGCAGATAAATGTGCAAAGAACAGGAAACTGAGGCTAAACCAAGTTTTTGACGGCAGCCCTGTGAATTTAAACTGGGAAGGAAGAACAAACAAGCTGATTTCAACTGCAAAAGGAAATATAACCAGGATGAGGTGTGCAGAATTGCCTTTCTGTGCTTTGATGAAAAGAAAACACACTGGCAAGGATTATGCATCACGTTAAACCACAATGGGACTTGTTCGTTTGGAGTTTAATGGGCTCAGAGACCCCAGAGCTCTTGTGGTTTACAAACATGGCATCTACCGTATTTTGAATGAATCCATCGTAGTTAACAAGCCACGATCCAGGAAAGTGTGCAAATGCAGTCCTTGACCAAGTCTTGCACATACACTCAGATTTCAAATGTTTTGGCAGCCTGAACCTATGCTTTCCAGGGTATGCAATTTTTCTTTTTCTTGAGAAAATATATATATATATTTAAAAAAAGGAAGGAACGATGCACGGTGTGACTTCTAATAAATGCAAGACCCTTTGGAGCGTATTGGCATTCTTTTATAATAATAAAGTTTGTCCAGTTTATTTAACTAAATATTGAAGGCATATGCTGTACAGCTGTCACAATTCACAGCCTGTCCGGCCTTGAACGGGGTCTGGCTGGGAAATTCACACCCACAAAACACACGTACACATACTTCAAGGTCAGGATACGGAGTCTCGCAGGACTGTTAAAAGCAAAATGTTTGCCTCGCATCTAATGAACGCGACGCCAAACCAGCAAGATGAATGACCCTGCAGTATAAATAGACCATTGTAAAGTCAGACAACGTACATCAGAGGTCTCCAACGTGGCCCCTTTAAGAATTTTTGGACTTCAGCTCCCAGAATTCCTCAGCCAGACTGTGGAATTCTGGGAGTTGAAGTCCTCACATCTCCATGTATGGCTGAGTGGGGAATTCTGGGAGTTGAAATCCTCACATCTCCCTTTCTGTCTGTCTGGGGAATTCTGGGAGTTGAAGTCTTCACATCTCCCTGTCTGTCTGTCTGGGGAATTCTGGGAGTTGAAGTACTCACATCTCCCTGTCTGTCTGTCTGGGGAATTCTGGGAGTTGAAGTACTCACATCTCCCTGTCTGTCTGTCTGGGGAATTCTGGGAGTTGAAGTCCTCACATCTCCCTGTCTGTCTGTCTGGGGAATTCTGGGAGTTGAAGTACTCACATCTCCCTGTCTGTCTGTCTGTCTGGGGAATTCTGGGAGTTGAAGTCTTCACTTTATATGCCGCCCTGAGTCTCCGGAGAAAGGCGGCATATAAATTGGACTAAATAAATCTCCCTGTATGGCTGACTGGGAAATTGGGGAATTCTGGGAGTTGAAGTCCTCACATCTCCCTGTCTGTCTGTCTGGGGAATTCTGGGAGTTGAAGTCCTCACATCTCCCTGTCTGTCTGTCTGGGGAATTCTGGGAGTTGAAGTACTCACATCTCCCTGTCTGTCTGTCTGGGGAATTCTGGGAGTTGAAGTCCTCACATCTCCCTGTCTGTCTGTCTGGGGAATTCTGGGAGTTGAAGTACTCACATCTCCCTGTCTGTCTGTCTGTCTGGGGAATTCTGGGAGTTGAAGTCTTCACTTTATATGCCGCCCTGAGTCTCCGGAGAAAGGCGGCATATAAATTGGACTAAATAAATCTCCCTGTATGGCTGACTGGGAAATTGGGGAATTCTGGGAGTTGAAGTCCTCACATCTCCCTGTCTGTCTGTCTGGGGAATTCTGGGAGTTGAAGTCCTCACATCTCCCTGTCTGTCTGTCTGGGGAATTCTGGGAGTTGAAGTACTCACATCTCCCTGTCTGTCTGTCTGGGGAATTCTGGGAGTTGAAGTCCTCACATCTCCCTGTCTGGCTGACTGGGGAATTCTGGGAGTTGAAGTACTCACATCTCCTTGTCTGGCTGTCTGGGGAATTCTGGGAGTTGAAGTCCTCACAACTTCCTATATAGCTGTCTGGGGAATTCTGGGAGTTGAAGTCCTCACATTTCCCTGTATGGCTGTCTGGGGAATTCTGGGAGTTGAAGTCCTCACATCTCCCTGTATGGCTAGCTGGGGAATTCTGGGAGTTGAAGTCCTCACATCTCCCTGTCTGGCTGAGTGGGGAATTCTGGGAGTTGAAGTCCTCACATCTCCCTGTCTGTCTGTCTGGGGAATTCTGGGAGTTGAAGTACTCACATCTCCCTGTCTGTCTGGGGAATTCTGGGAGTTGAAGTCCTCACATCTCCCTGTCTGGCTGAGTGGGGAATTCTGGGAGTTGAAGTCCTCACATCTCCCTGTCTGTCTGTCTGGGGAATTCTGGGAGTTGAAGTCCTCACATCTCCCTGTCTGGCTGACTGGGGAATTCTGGGAGTTGAAGTACTCACATCTCCTTGTCTGGCTGTCTGGGGAATTCTGGGAGTTGAAGTCCTCACAACTTCCTATATAGCTGTCTGGGGAATTCTGGGAGTTGAAGTCCTCACATTTCCCTGTATGGCTGTCTGGGGAATTCTGGGAGTTGAAGTCCTCACATCTCCCTGTATGGCTAGCTGGGGAATTCTGGGAGTTGAAGTCCTCACATCTCCCTGTCTGGCTGAGTGGGGAATTCTGGGAGTTGAAGTCCTCACATCTCCCTGTCTGGCTGAGTGGGGAATTCTGGGAGTTGAAGTCCTCACATCTCCCTGTCTGTCTGTCTGGGGAATTCTGGGAGTTGAAGTACTCACATCTCCCTGTCTGTCTGTCTGGGGAATTCTGGGAGTTGAAGTCCTCACATCTCCCTGTCTGGCTGACTGGGGAATTCTGGGAGTTGAAGTACTCACATCTCTTGTCTGGCTGACTGGGGAATTCTGGGAGTTGAAGTCCTCACAACTTCCTATATAGCTGTCTGGGGAATTCTGGGAGTTGAAGTCCTCACATTTCCCTGTATGGCTGTCTGGGGAATTCTGGGAGTTGAAGTCCTCACATCTCCCTGTATGGCTAGCTGGGGAATTCTGGGAGTTGAAGTCCTCACATCTCCCTGTCTGGCTGAGTGGGGAATTCTGGGAGTTGAAGTCCTCACATCTCCCTGTCTGGCTGAGTGGGGAATTCTGGGAGTTGAAGTCCTCACATCTCCTTGTCTGTCTGACTGGGGAATTCTGGGAGTTGAAGTCCTCACATCTCCCTGTCTGGCTGAGTGGGGAATTCTGGGAGTTGAAGTCTTAACATCTCCCTGTATGGCTGACTGGGGAATTCTGGGAATTGAAGTCCTCACAACTTCCTATATAGCTGGCTGGGGAATTCTGGGAGTTGAAGTCCACAAACTACTTAAATGGCCCAAAATTCACAACCTTTGCAGCTGTGTCAAAAACAACGCCATGATTTACAATCCATCTCTATCTTTTATTGATACGCTTTATCTGTCCCTCCATCCCAGCAGGCCCACCAAACCACCTCCGCAGGTGGCAGGCGGTGCCTCCCCCACCCCACCCCAAAGTGACTTGGCCAGCACGGGAGTGGGGGGGGTTCCCCGAACGGCAGCCTCTTTGGCCCGGCCTCAGTTTTACTTGTTTTGCAATGGGGAATCTTGGTTGTAGAAGTGCCGGATCAGCCATTCGCGCGTCCGTTTGGCTTTGCAACGCAGGCAGGGCTGCTGCCTCAACCAGGCGGTCTCGGGGTTCCTGGGGGTCTTGGCTGCTGTCCGCGGCTGCTGCTTCTTCTTCATCCGGCTGGCCATGCTGACGCTGTCGCCCGTCTGGCTCCACTTCCAGGAGGATAACTGGGAATCGGGGCTGCCGGTGCCGGAGGAATCGCTGTCGCAGAAAGTCTGCTGGCTGAGCAGGGAGAGCCGCTTCTTCAGCCGCTTTTTCATGGGGGGCGAGACGGGGGGGTCCCCCGTTTCTTCGTTTCCTTTCCCCCCAAAGATCTTCCTGAAGAGGCCGCAGAGGGTGATCTTGCAGTGACATTGGCAGCTGCACCCTTGGCCGCCTAAAAGCAGGAAAAAAAATTGTAACAAATTGCTAATCCTCGTTTAGCGACCGTTTAGAGTCGACGGCACTGAAAAAAGCGACGGATGTGCCGTCTTCGCACTTACGATGGTTGCCGTATGGATCACGGGATCCAACTCCAGGCGCTGGGAGGTACAGGGTAGTCCTCGGCTTATGACCGCAACTGAGTGACCGTTCAGATTTACAATGGCCGTTACGATTGACTTGTGACCGTTTTTCACACTTAGTGACCGTTGCAGCGTCCCCATGGTCACGTGATAAAAATTCAGAAGCTTGGCAACTGACTCACAGTTATGACGGTAGCAGTGTCCTGGGGTCACGTGATCCCCTTTTGTGACCTTCGGACAATCAAAGTCCAATGGGGAAGCCAGATTCACCTAACAAACTTTCTAGCCGCAGCCATTAAGTGAATCATTGCAGCCGTGAAGTTAATCATGTGGTTGTTAAGTGAATCTGACTTCCCCCATTGACGTTGTTTGTCAGAAGGTCACAAAAGGGATTGCGTGACCCCGGGACACTGTGACCGTCATAAATATGAACCAGTTGTCGAGCATCTGAATTTTGATTGTACGACCCTGGGGATGCTGCAACGGTCGTAAGTGTGAAAAGCGGTCATAAGTCACTTTTTAAAGTGCCGTCGTAACTTTGGATGGTCACTAAACGAACTATCATAAGTAGAGGACTATCTGTGTTCGTCAGTCCTCAACCTACTGGTCACTTAGCTATTGTTCAAAGTGACAACAAATCCCCCAATTCCTAGTTAAGACCCAAATTTGAAGCTCTGACAGCTGGAGGCACCTCGCGTGACAACATTGCCCTAATTTGCAACATCACAATGAGTTAGCTTAACAAGTGCCTTGTCTTGCTTTACAACCGCTGCGTTTGCATAACGACCACCGCGTTCACTGTATAACCACGTTTGCTTAACAACGGCTGAAAAATAGTCATAAATCTTTTTGGTCATGTGTTGGCAATGCTTAGTTGATCCGACTTACAACTGTATCGGAGGGCTCAATTATGGTCATAAGTTGAGAACTATCTCTATCTCTATATCATCTATCTATCTATCTATCAATCTATCTATCTATCTATCTATCTATCTATCTATCTATCTAACTATCTATCATCTTTCTATATCTCTATCTCTGACTGTCAGTCTGTCTGTCATCTGTCTATCGTCTATCATCTGTCTGTCTATTTATCTATATCTCTATCCTGACTGTCTGATTGTCTGTCTGTCTATCATCCATCTATCTATCTATCTATCTATCTATCTATCTATCTATCTATCTATCTATCTATCTATCTGTTTCATGAAGGAATAAAACCACACCAGCTCAGTTCTAACATTGCGCAGAGATGTTCCCAGAGCAGTTTGCATTAGTCCAGCCCTGCAGATTTTAGCACAGTTTGTTCTAAGAATTTGGCCCTGGATTCAAGCGAGTGAATCGTTTCATGTGCCTGGAAAGTGAGTGAATGGATCAAGCCACGGGAGGGACAGTGAACTCTAGATAAGTAAGCTGTGAGAAAACGAAACTGGGGTTTAGCATGCTACCCCCAAAACTTCCCCCATCCCAGAAAGAATGCACAAGTTTAGAAATCCTATTTTTCTTTGGGATCTATCCCCAAATGCTTTGTTGATTTATGGTAGAATAGAGTAGAGTAGAGTAGAAAATAGGAATAGAATATAGAATAGAATAGAGCAGAGCAGAGTAGAAAATAGGAATAGAATATAGAATAGAATAGAATAGAATAGAATAGAATAGAATAGAATAGAATAGAATAGAATAGAATAGAATAGAATAGAATTCTTTATTGGCCAAGTGTGATTGGACACACAAGGAATTTGTCTTTGGTGCATAAGTTCTCATTGTACATAAAAGCTATAAGTGATCAATCACGATCATCGTCATTATAAAAATACATTCATCATAAATCAGAAGATACAACACTTAGTGGTAAGAATCAACATAAATCGTACTAGGAAACTAAATAAAAGAATATAAATCGTAAAGATACAAGCAACAAAGTTGTAGTCATAAAGGAGGTAGGTAATAGGAAAGATGAGAAGAAGAATATTAATATAGCCTTACTAAATAATTGGACAGTGTTGTGGGAATTAGTTGTTTAACAGCCTTGGTAAAGAGCCTTGGTAGTACAGTGGTCTAAGGCACCCTGTTATTAAGCTAGTTATTAAGACCAGCTGCCTGCAATTACTGCAGGTTCGAATCTCGCCAAGGCTCAAGGTTGACTCAGCCTTCCATCCTTTCTAAGGTAGCTAAATTGAGGACCCAGTTTGTGGGGGCAATAAGCTGACTTTGTATAAATATACAAAAGGATGAAGGCTATTGCTGAGCACATTGTAAGCCGCCCTGAGTCTCCGGAGAAGGGCGGCATATAAATCAAATTAAACAAAACAAAACAAAACAAAACAGAGAGATGGCATGGGGGAAAAATTGTCCTTGTGACTCCTGGTATTTGTTCGGGTGTGCAGTGCCCTATAGCATCATTTTGAGGGTAGAAGTTCGTAAAAAAACAGGGTTGTCCAACCTTATTAAAGTTTTAACTTTAACTTGTGGACTTCAATTCCCAGAATTCCCTAGCCAGCTGGCTGGAGACTTCTGGGAATTGAAGTCCACGGGTCTTAAAATTGACAACGTTGGACACCCTTGGTGTAAAACATGCTGCTAGGAGGAACTTAACTCTTTACCTTTCGAATGGACCTTCCAGTTGCAAGACAGAGTCCCACAAGGTTGTTTCTGGAAAAACTGCGCCGGAAACATGGAAACTTTGAGTTAGCGGTTTTGAAAGGAACATGCAAAAATGCACAGGAGAAAAACAGATCAGATCGTTGAGGGTTTATTATTAAAGTTTAAAGATCAATCTCACGTGAAGGGGGTGTTGAAGAAACGTAGGCCGCATTCACACAACATCCTAGACTAGTGATGGCTAACCTTTTTGCCATCACGTGTCACAAGCAATGGGGAACGTGGGGGGGGGGTCGAGCGTGCACATGCCCACACCCATAATTCAATGTGCCCCGCCCCCCGTGCATGCATGTGGGACCCCCCTATGCAACCCTGCTTTTGGCAAGTGATGGCATGGTGGGCCATTTTTTGCCCTCCCCAGGCTCCAGAGGCTTTCTAGGAACCTGGGGAGGGCAAAAACAGCCTTCCCCACTCCCCCGGAGGCCCTCTGGTGGCCAGAAATGGCCTGTTTCCCAACTTCCAGTGGGCCCAAAAGGCCCCAAAATCAGCTGGTCAGTGCACGCATGCGGGCTGGAGCTGAGCTAGGGCAATGCTCGCATGCCCACAGATATGGCTCCGTGTGCCACCTGTGGCACGCGTGCCATAGGTTTGCCATCACGGTTCTAGACCATTGTTCCATCAATGACGACCTTAGCATGTTGTGTGAACACGGCTTATGGATTTGAACCAGCTCCTAATATGAAATTGGAAGCCATGGAAGTTCCCTTTGGGAGACTGTCAAAGGAATGGTGACAAGATTGGTCGACAGGTATTCCTTGATTTATGAACACAACAGAGTTCAAATTTCTACTGGCAAGCCAGACATTTGTTAAGTGAATTTTGCCCCTGTTTTACGACCTTTCTTGCCACATGAATCGTTGTAGCTGTTAAGTTAGTAACACGGTTGTTGAGTGAATCTGGCTTCCTCGTTGATTTTGCTTGTCAGAAGGTCGCAAACGGGGATCACGTGACCCCTGGGACATTGCAACCGTCATAAATATGAACCAATTGCCAAGCATCCGAATTTTGATCATGTGACAATGGTCGTAAGTTTTAAAAAATGGTCATAAGACACTTTTTTCAGTGCCGTTATAACTTGAACCGTCTCTAAGTGAACTGCTGTAAATCCAGGACTACCTGTATTATTTTCAACTCGTCACAATGGCTACCATAAGGCTTCGCTTGCAGGAGCAGTCTATCTGCATATTGATACAACCATAGCAGCAGATTTTAGCTTTTGAGTGCTGGTTGCATGTATCTTTTTTTGGATGTTTTGGTTGCCCGTTATGGCGACAACATGGTCGAGCTGATCCAGGGGAGATTTTTATGGCTTGAGGTCCCCTCCTCAAATAACAAACTACAATGAAATACCGTCTCTTACCCTCTTCGCCGCGAGGGAACCGAGTTTTAGAATGAGGATAGCCAAACAGTAGAAAAGCAGCATTTCTCCCATGAACCAGCAGATTTCTTCATCCTCCTCCTCTTCCTCCTCGCAAGGGATTTCCTTGTGGTGGGCAGAGGCCATCTGCCCTTGATCGGAATAATGCCACCAGGAATAAAGAAAAGGGAAGGCCATTAGAGAAAAAAAATCTTGCTTTGCAGAATTGTCCAAAATGCTGTGCTAAGTTAGATAAGGCTCCCTTGGAAAATGGGATCCAAGGCAGCAGTCCAGTGGCCAAGCAACGGATTGTGTTGACACGGCCAGTTTCCCAAGCTGTCATCTGCAAGACCTAGAACCCTGATTCTGGAGCATTCTTGTAGCCATGGAGACCACCAAGCTTTCTTTGAATAGCCTGTCTGCTTTTGGAGTCTGCAACAGACTTGCTGCGTTCGGGTATCAGAAGACATACCCTTGCTGGAACAGGTCAAGGTCCAGCTTGGTAGCAGGAACTGGGAGAGGGATCTTGGAGTTTTAGTGGACAACCAGTTATATAAGAGCCAGCCGTGTGCCAAAAAAGCCACCGCAATCCTAACCTGCATTAACAGAGGGATACAATCAAGATCAAGGGATATACTAATACCACTCTATAAAGTCTTAGTAAGACCACACCTACAATTCTGCATCTAGTTTTGGTTGCCACACTATAAAAAGGATGTTGAGACTCTAGAAAAAGTGCAGAGAAGAGCAACCAGGATGACGAGGGGACTGGAGACTAAAGCATATGATGAATGGTTGCAGGAACTGGGCATGGCTAGTTTAGTGAAGAGAAGGACCAGGAGAGATAGCAGTCTTCCAATATTTGAGGGGCTGCCACAGAGAGGAAGGGTCAAGCTATTTTCCAAGGCAACCAAGGCCAGACAAGGAATAATGGAGAGAACGAACAAGAGAGATTCAACCTGGAAATAAGGAGAATTTTTCTGACAGTGAGAACAATCAACCCATGGAACAGAAGTTGCCTTCAGAAGTTGTGGGAGCTTCATCCCTGGAGACTTTCAAGAAGAGATTGGACTGCCATTTGTCAGAAATGGTGTAGGGTCTCCTGCTTTGGCGGAGAGTTGGACTAGATGACCTACAAGGTCCATCCAACTCTGTTAATCTGTAAATCTGCTTTCTCGCAGGGGGTTCTGAGATGTTCTCAGCCAGGAAATGGAGATTCATCTCTCATCCATTGTTGGTCTTCTACAGTTGATATTTGGAGACATGATGCCCCCAACCTAGACATAATACGGAGTCTTCAAAGCACAATTGACCGGTCCTTCATGAACTTGTCCCATCTCTAGTTAAAAGCTATCCAAGATACGATCTTGAGTGGTCTTGAGTGAACGCAGCTTGTAGATAAACCATGATTGGGGTGATGGCTTCAGACTGTGTGTGAACACTATTATGGTTACAGAAGGCATGGTTTAGGTTCTAAATAAACCAGCTTGTGGTTGAACCATGATTGGATTGATGGCTTCAGACATTGTGTGAACACTGTTATGGTTAGAAAAGGCATGGTTTAGATCCTGAGTGAACCAGCTTATGGTTGAACCATCATTGGAGTGATGGCTTCAGACAGTGTGAATGTTATCATGGATTAGACAAGCTATGGTTTAGGTCATGTTGTGTGAACTCAGCTTGTGATTGTAAACATGATTGGATCGATGGCTTTCAATATGGCCTGAATGCTATCATTAAAGAAGCCAGGGTTAAGATTCTGTGTGAACACAGCTTGTTGTAAACCACAATTGGATTGACAGAATTTTAGAACTGTGTGAACACTATCATGGTTAGACAAGGCATGTCTGAGTAAACCCAGTTGCTGATTGTAAACCTCAGCTGTATTGATGGCTTCAGATATTGTGTGAATGCTATCATGGTTAGTCAAGCCATGGCTTAGGTCCTGTTTATTTCCTTTGTGCTTGTATTCTACTCCTTGAAGATCTATCATAAGGGTGGATTCCCCTTGGATCCCTCCCCTTCCATGAATCCAGCCAGGATCCCAAACTCAGCGCCTCATAAAACATTTTGAGGAAATCAGAAAAATCGCCTCAAACCCCAGCAGGCATTTGATGCTTTGAAATTCTCCCGCCAAAACGTCAAAAAGAGAAGAGGCTCGGCCAATTGGCACCGAACACGAGAACGACCGCCAATCCCCTCCTTCGCGCCCGTCGCCCCGGCAACAAAACCCGCCTTCGCCGCCTCTTTCCTCTCTTGCCCATACTGGAGTAGGGAGGATAACCCCGCTGCGCAGGCGCAGTTCGGGCAAGGAAGGCGAATCCGTGCTGGTAAGCAAGAGAAAGGGTGCGGGATAATTGGTTGGGGGGGGGATCGGTTGATTGTATGTTTTCTCACACATTATAGAGAAAGCGCATGCGCTTTAAGCCCCGTTTTGACGTGGGGGGGTGTCCTAGCCCCGCAGCCCCCTCCCTCCAACCGGCATCGTGAGGTTAAAGAAGCTAATCCACGTGAGGCTCCGCCTCCCAACATGGCGGCCGCGAGAGGAGTTGGACCACGACTCCCAGAATCCCTCGCGCCACACGGACCGTTTTCGCACGCCGCGCTTAAAGGGGCCGTCCCGATTCTGCCTTGCGTCATCTAAACGCGACGCGTTTGTCTTTGCAGCGGGAGCATGCCTGGGTCAGATCCGGCATCTTCGTGCACGGAACGTGTGAATCCGGGTAGGCACAATGTGTGGTTAGGTTTTGTGGGGCTGAGCTTGCGGGGGTGGGGGGGGGAGGGAGGACCCTTCCCCATTGAATCAGATAACAAGCATTCATTCATTCATTCATTTCATTGATTTTTCCCTGTGAAGCCTCAAGATGGCGCTGTTGATCCCAACTTGGGTGAAACACTCTCAAACGCTCACTTAGTCCTCAACTTACCACCACAATGGAGCCCGAAATTTATGTTGCTAAGTGAGAAATTGGTTAAAGTGAGTTTGCTCCATTTTGTGACTATTCTTGCCACTTTTGTTTGTTTAGAAATTTTACATTGCCGCCTATTCGCACGTGGTGGATACTAGAATAGGAAATAGGAATTGAATTGAATTGAATTAATTGAATTGAATTTTTTATTGGCCAAGTGTGGATTGGACACAAAAGGATTTGTCTTTGGTGCATATGCTCACATTGTACATAAAAGAAAAGATACGTTCGTCAAGAATCATAAGGTACAACACTTAATGATAGTCATAGGGTACAGATAAGCAACCAGGAAACAATATCAATATAAATCTTAAGGATACCAGCAACAAGGTTACAGTCGTAAATGGAAGGAGATGGAACGATGAGAAGATTAATAGTAGTGCAGACTTAGTCAATAGTTTGACAGTGGTGTGGGAATTATTTGTTTAGCAGAGTGATGGCATTTGGGGAAAAACTGTTCTTGTGTCTAGTTGTTCTGGTGTGCAGGGCTCTATAGCGTCGTTTTGAGGGTAGGAGTTGAAACAATTTATGTCCAGGATGCGAGGGGTCTGTAGATATTTTCACAGCCCTCTTTTTGATTCGTGCAGTAGACAGGTCCTCCATGGAAGGCAGGTTGGTAACCATTGTTTTTTCTGCAGTTCTAATGATCCTCTGAAGTTTGTGTCTGTCTTGCTGGGTTGCAGAGCCAAACCAGACAGTTATGGAGGTGGAGATGACAGACTCCATAATTCCTCTGTAGAACTGGATCAGCAGCTCCTTGGGCAGTTCGAGCTTCCTGAGTTGGCGCAGAAAGAACATTCTTTGTTGTGCTTTTTTGATGATGTTTTTGATGTTGGGTGTCCAGTTTAGATCTTGCAATACAGCAGAACCTAGAAATTTGAAGGCCTCTACTGCTGATACTGTGCTGTCTAGTATTGTGAGAGGTGGAAGTTTGTGAATAACTGCAGTTGTTAGGTTAGCAATAACGGTTGTTAAGCAAATCTGGTTTCCACGTTGACTTTGCTCGTGAGGCAACGGCAACTTTACTTCGATGCGGCAACGGTCGTAAGGGTGAAAAATGGTCATAAGTCACTTTTTTCAGTGCCGTTGTAACTTCGAACATACACTAAGAGGACTGACTACCTGTAGTAAATACAGGATGTGTCACTTCTGACTTCTGTTTCTCTTCTCTCTCCCCCCCCCCCACAAGTTTTGCTTGTCAGAAGTCGCAAAAGGGGATCACACAAACCCCAGGGATACGGCAGCCGTCATAAATATGAGTCGGTTGCCATCGCCTGAATTTTGATCATGTGATCATGGGAGAGCTGCAACGTTCGTAAGTGTGAAAAACAGCCCTAAGTTCCTTTTTTTTCCGGTGCTGTCACTAAAGGAAACCATTGTAAGTCGAGGACTACCTGTACTCAAAGAGACGGCATATGAATGGAAGGAATAACCATTTTTATTCTCTTCTTACTCTTTCTAGACCATGCAGGGGGAACCAAATCCATCCGAGTCCCTCATTGACCGGACCATCAAGATGAGGAAGGAAACGGAAGCGAGGAAGGTCCTCTTGGCCTGGGGATTTCTCAACCTGTCACTCGCTGGCATGATCTACACGGAAATGTAAGCTGGAGAAGAAGCTTGCTTGAGTGAATAACAGAATCACAGAGTTGGTTATACTTGCAAGAAGTAAAGCAGAAAAAATATATTGGTAAAAATAAAAAAAGGTAAAAAAATAAGGTTGACTCAGCCTTCCATCCTTTCTAAGGTAGGTAAATTGAGGACCCAGTTTGTGGGGCAATAAGCTGATTTTGTATAAAATATACAAAAGTATGAAGGCTATTGCTTAACGCACCGTAAACCGCCCTGAGTCTCTGGAGAAGGGCGGCATATAAATCAAATAAAAAAAAAAAGATAAGAGATTAGAAAATTGTTGAGTAAAGATTTGAAGGACAAAAGAGAACAAGATGAAATATATTGTTAATGATTAAAAAGATAAGGGATCGGGGTTGCCTGAAACGCCACAATGGAAAACATTACATTGAAAACGAATACTGCAATAGAGAAAGATGAAGGAATTGGAAGGAGGAGGAAGGAGAGAGAGGGATGGAAGAGTAGGGAGGAAGGAAGGGAAGGGAAAGTAGAGTAGGAGAGAAGGTAAAGACGGGGGGGGGAAGAGAGGAGGAGAAGGAGAAGGAAGGGGAAGTAGAGAAAAGAAGAAGGTGGATAAAGAAAGTTGGAAGGAAAAGGGAGAGGCTAGGTTTGAGGAGAAAGATTGCTGTATAATAATAAAAAAAAGATGAAGTGGAAGCGGGGGATTTGATTTAAATCGAGTTGATTTAAATCACAATTTAAATCATGATTTAAATCACTAGTAAAAAGGCTTGATTAAAACCAACTCGATTTAAATCGTAATTTTTAAAGAGCAACTGTCATCTCTGCTACTCCTTTGACCCACTGTTGACTCACCGATAGTCCCAGTGTTGCAGAATATACAGCCTCCTGCGACATAACTAAGCTCCATTTCATGCTGAATAAACTAAATTATTTATGTATCTTAAATAGAAAACTATCTTACGATAGATTTTTACCTCAAAAGTTTTTTATTAAAATAAATTCGATAAAAATAAAAAAAATCTGATTTTTTTTATTTTTTTAAAAAAAATCATTGATTTTTATCCACCCTGAGTGGAAGAAAGGCAGCTCTGAACAAACAAATATAAATAGTAGTTGAATTAAACATTCTGTTTTCTTCTGAAATTTTTCTTGGATTTATCCATGGTTGGCCTACCGGGGTCAAAAAGCTCAATAAGTCACATGCCGGCAGGTGTCGCACATTGGCAGTTGTGACACATATTTTGAGCGACAGGGAGCCACAGCAGAGGGGTGAAATAGAGCCACATGCGGCTCCAGAGCTGCAGGTTGCTGACCCCTGCCCTAGACCATTCCAGACAAATGGCTGTCCAATCTCTTCTTTAAAAGCCTCCAATGATGGAGCACCCACAACTTCTAGTGGCAAGCTGTTCCGCTGTTAATTTTCTCACTGTCAGGAAATTCCTCCTTAATTTCAGGTTGCTTCTCTCCTTGATGAGTTTCCATTCATTATTTCTTTTTCTTGCCTTCAGGTGCTTTGGGTTCCATTATGTCAAGGACTGTCTGTATTTTCTGGCTAACAACCATTCATTTATTGACTGTTTGAAGTTATGACGCCACTAGGGAAAAAAAGTGACTTACCACCAGTCCTCACACTTATGACTATCCCAGCATCCCAACAGCAGTCACATAATCAAAATTAGGGCTCTGTCAATGGGGGAAGGACCACACCATTCAGTTAACAACTGTGGCTATTTGTGCTTCATAATGATAGTAAAAAATAGGACCATAAATTGGGACACAATTCCCTTAACAACCACCTTCCTTAGCGACATAAATCCAAGTCTCAATTGTGGTCGTAAGTCTGGATTGCCTTATGGTATTGTGAAAGTCCGAAAGCCAGAAATCTGAATGCCAACCTCCGCCTTTCTCTCGTTCTAGGTCTGGAAAACTGATAAGTTCCTACTACAATATCTCGTGCTGGATCCTCTGGTATATTGGTGAGTATCCAGCAAGAAAATGATGGTTAATTTCAATGCCTTAGGATGCCTGCCTTTATCCCCGTTTGTTTGTTTTTTTAAGCAAGTTACCAGTCCTCTGTGTTTAACATGTTGCTGTGTTTGAAGACTTCCATTCCATGTTGCTACCCTCCATCCTTATTACACTCGGCCTAATGTGTTAAGTTTAGGTAGAAATCTGGCAGCCTGGGGTTCCCTCCACCCCTCTTCCTTTTCTGGTGAAATTCCCTTTCTACTAACTTGTATTTTTTCTTTTGAAGACGTTTCGCTTCTCCTCCAAGAAGCTTCTTCGGCTCTGACCAGATGGTGGGGAGATGGAAGGATTGATACTCCTTGCAGACAGCTGGTCATTTGCATCCTTTTAGAGGGTCTTTGAGGCCACTTGGTGGTTTGTCTGTGTCCTCAGGGTCACCTGAGTGTGCAAATGGTTGTGTAACAAAAGGACTGTGCAGTTCCTAGAAGGCTCCATGCCCATTTGCACCACTGAGGACACAGAGAAACCTCCCAAGTGGCTTCAACGGCCCTCAAAAAGGATGCAAATGACCAGCTGTCTGCAAGGAATATCAACCCTTCTGTTCCCCACCGTCCAGTCAGAGCCGAAGAAGCTGCTTGGATGAGAAGCGAAACGTCTTCAGAAGAAAAAAAATAAGAAAAGTCCAGTTGCCTCCTGAAAAAAGCACCTTTGGGACACCCATGACTTAGATGACGGAGAATCTCTATGAACTTTCGACTAACCTTATTTTGCACCCATAGAAGAGAATAGGGGCCTGGTGGCTCAGCAGACTAAAAGCACTGTGATTTAACACCAGCTGTCTGCAATTACTGTAAGTTGGAATCTCACCAGGCTCAAGGTTGACTCAGCCTTCCATCCTTTGTAAGGTGGGTAAAATGAGGACCCAGTTTGTGGGGGCAATAAGCTGACTTTGTATAAATATACAAAATTATGAAGGCTATTGCTTAACGCATTGTAAGCCGCCCTGAGTCCCCGGAGAAGGGCGGCATATAAATCAAATTTAAATATATATATATATATTTGTAGCTCAGGGTTGAACTTTGGAAGGCCTCCCCACCAGCAAACAATGGCCCGCTAAGCAGAGATTAACACCGAGGTGTAAACAATACCCCAATCAAGAAACTACCAACTCAGATGAACAATCGAACAATTGATTACACCGAGGTGTAAACAATACCCCTGATAAAGGAACTACCAAGGAATGTTCCCAGCAACCTTGACAGCCACCAACATATAAACAGAATTTAACCTCCCCTCTACTATCACGTTCCCTACCTGGGTCATGAAATGTCTGCAAGAAAACAGCCCAAGTTCAGAGAGGGACCCACCGTCCTTCCCTCCTCCTCCTCCTTCCCCTTCATTCCTTCTCCTCTTTCCTTTCCTTCCTTCCTTAGCACTGATGATATTAACTAGTCGGTCATGAAACATCTGCAAGAAAACTCTTCCTCCTCCCCCTTTTTCCTTCCCCATTGATGATGTTACCTAGTTGGGTCATGAAATGTCTCCACCACCACCACCATCTTTTTCTCCTTCTCCTTCTTCCCCTTCTCCTTCTTCTCCTTCTTCCCCTTCCCCCCGTCTTCTTCTTCTTCTTCCCTTTCTCCTCCTCCTCTCTCCTCTCCTCCTCTCCTCTCCTTCCCCTTCTCCTTCCCCTTCTTCCTCCTCCTCTCCTTCTTCTTTCCATTCTCCTCCTCCTCCTCCTTCTTCCCCTTCTTCCCCTTCCTTCCGTTCTCCCCTCTCATCTTGATGATTTACCTAGTTGGGTCATGAAATGTCTTCTCTACCATCACCACCTCCTCTTCTCCTCCTCCTCTTCCTCCTTCTCCTTTTCCTTCTTCTTCCCCTTCTCCTCCTTCTCCTTCTTCCCTTCCCCCGTTCTTCTTCTTCCCCTTCTTCTCCTTCTCCTCCTCCTTCTCCTCCTTCCTCTCCTCCTCCTCCTTTTCCTTTTTCTTCCCCTTCTCCTCCTTCCCCTTCCCCCGTTCTTCTTCCCCTCTTCATTTTCTCCTCCTCCTTCTTCTCCTCCTCTTCCTCCTCCTTCCCCTTCTTCCTCCTCCTCTTCTTCTTTCCTTCTTCTTCTCCTCCTCCTCCTTCCCCTTCTTCTTCTTCCCCTTCCTCCCTTCTCCCTCTCACATTGATGATGTCGCCTAATTGGGTCATGAAATGCCTACAAGAAAACCCCCAAGCTCAGAGAGAGCACCAAAGACCCCACAACCTCACCTTAACCACGCATTTCCTTCCATCGCCAACCCAACTGATCCTTTGTTTTTGAATGGTTCACTCTAATTTCCTGTTGTTATTGTTGTTTTTTTAAATGCTAGAACTTGGCTTTGCCTCTCTGTTCAGCCTCAACGCCTTGTTCGATTTCTGGAGATACTTCAAATATACCATGGCCCCTACCAGCTTAGTGATGAGTCCTGGCCAACAGACGCTTCTGGGGTTGCAGAACGCAGGTGGGCCTGTTTTGCGTGTCTTAAGATTTGTGGACTTCAACTCCCAGAATTCCCTAGCCAGCCAGGGGAATTCTGGGAGTTGAAGTCCACTTTGATTTTATTGTACACCAGTAGCCCCCAACCTTTCAGGCACCAGGGACTGGTTCCGCGGAGCAGAGACTGGCGTGGTTTTGCAAGCTGCCTGCATCCCGTGGATGGGGCTTCACCTGTTTGCACGATCCGGTTTCTGGCATGCCTCGGCCCAGTGCCGGCCTACAGACCAGGGGTTAGGGACAGGTGGGCTTCAGATCCTTCAGCAACGGGTTCACTGCCCTGGTGCTGGGTGGGTGTGGCCATGGTGGGCAGGGCCTAGTCAGCCGCCTGCACCATGGCAGGGGGGCGTTTTTTGCCCTCCCCAGGCTCCAGAGGCTTTTCTCGAGCCTCCGGGAGGGCGAAAACTGCTTTTCCCGGAGGCCGGAAACAGGCCCATTTCCAGCCCTCCGGAACCTCCGGTAGTTTTTTGTCATCCCAGACTCTCTGCATGGCTTCACTTGTCCGAAATGGTATAGGACAGTGATGGCTAACCTTTTTGCCATCATGTGCCAGGAGCGGGGGTCTCACGGGGGCATGGGGGTCGCGCACGTGCCCACACCCAGAATTCTATGTGCCCCGCCCCCGTGCATGCGTGCACCCCCCCCCCCCCCCCACTCTTCCCCTCCTGGCACACGATGGCCCAGTAGGCCCGTTTTTCTATCTCCCAAGGCTCCAGAGCCTTTCTAGGAATCTGGGGAGGACAAAAACGGCACTCCTCACCCTCCTGGAGGCCAAAAATGGCCTGTTTGCCAACTTCCAGTGGGAGCTGAGCTCATGTGCCCACCGATATGGCTACGCATGCCACCTGTGGCACACATGCCATAGGTTTGCCATCATGGGCATAGGATCTCCTGCTTGAGCAGTGGGCTGGATTAGATGACCTCCAAGGTGCCTCCTCGTTCTATTCCGATTGATTGAAAGATGACTTCCAAGGGTCCGAATTTTGACCACATGACCACAGGAATGCTGCAACTGTCATCAGTATGAAAAACGGCCATCGGTTACTTAATTTGAAGCGCCGTCGTAACTTTGAATGGTCACTAAATGAGCTGTTGTAAGTCCACAGGTAGTCTTTTAAATTCCTTGTTTCCTATCATTGGAAACGGCTGAACGGTTCTGCTCCGGCTTCATTCAGAAAGTTTTATTTCCCCCCCCTCCCAATAATTAACATTTATCTCGTTCGTCTGTTTTTGCGCTTCTTTCTTAACCTTCGAAAACGGGGTTTAATTTCAGCGGTCCAGACTACGCCGCCCCGCGAGTTGGTGCCCAAGAAGACGCCCCCTTCGACCCCCTCCCCTCCCATCCAGGGCCAGAGCGTCCTGAGCTACAGCCCTTCCCGCTCACCCAGCACCAGCCCCAAATTTGCAACCGGTTGCATCTCCGGATACAGTCCTCAGCTGCAGGCCATGTCGGGAAGCAGCGGGTCCTACGGTACGGCGGCAAGTTACTCCCCAGGAAGCAACTACAGCAAGGTAGGAAAGCCAAGGATTTATTAGCTATGGTTCTTCCAAAGAGAACTGTACTCCCAAGAGCCTTGGTAGTACAGTGGTCTAAAGCACCCTGTTATTAAGACCAGCTGCCTGCAATTACTGCAGGTTTGAATCTCACCAGGCTCAAGGTTGACTCAGCCTTCCATCCTTTCTAAGGTAGGTGAAATGAGGACCCAGTTTGTGGGGGCAATAAGCTGACTTTGAATAAATATACAAAAGGATGAAGGCTATTGCTTAGTACATTGTAAGCCACCCTGAGTCTCCGGAGAAGGGCGGCATATAAATCAATTTTTTAAAAAAAATAATAATAATTAAAAAAAGAGGCAACTGGACTTTCTGGTTTTTTCTTTGAAGATATTTCGCTTCTCACCCAAGAAGCTTCTTCAGCTCTGACTAGACGGTGGGGAATGGAAGGATTGATACTCCTTGCAGACAGCTGGTCATTTGTGTTAAGGAATTCACAGAGTAGCCCTTAAATAGCAAGGGTGTGCACATGAAAGCGATTGAGAGTAGTTACGAATAAACACAGCCAACACACAGATCCACTGAGTTGTGTTTACTTTCAGGAAATAGTAAGACACAGTCCAATAAACAGTCCAGGTCATACACATATAAAGCAGGAGATAGCTTAAACAACAGTCCAGGGATAAATCCAATAACAAAGTCTTCTTACCAGTTGTCGTAGTCATTCACAATAAATAGTTCTTCTGGATTTGCAAACAGTAGCATACAGAGATAGCAGAGAGCAAGAACAGCAAAGAGAAACAAACCAGGTTTCTAGCTCCCTCTTAAAGAGATTGGCTACAGAGCTAACCAATCAGGACACAGTATGATGCAATACAGCAGTCTTAAAGCTGTATTGAGGGTTTATATATTGCCAGCCCAACAAGTCCGGTAATAATCATTTCCTAACAATTTGCATCCTTTTAGAGCCGTGTTTCCCAACCGTGGCTATTTTAAGATGCATGGACTTCAACTCCCAGAATGCCCCAGCCAGTATGGCTGGTTGAGGAATTCTGGGAGTTGAAGTCCATACATCTTCAAAGGTTGGGAAACACTGTTTTAGAGGGTCGTTGAGGCCGCTTGGAGGTTTGTCTGTGTCCTCAGGGTCACACCTGAGTGGTGCAAATGGGCGTGGAACCTTCTTGGAATTGCACACTCCTTTTCTTCCACACCCATTTACACTACTCAGGTGACCCTGAGGACACAGAAACCTCCAAGTGGCCTCAACGTCCCTCCAAAAGGATGCAAATGACCAGCTGTTTGCAAGGAATATCGATCCTTCCACTCCCCACCATACGGTCAGAGCTGAGGAAGTGACATGCGACTGTTTTTCACTCTTATGACCATCGCAACATAATCCGTGGTCCCATGATTAAAAGTCAGACACTTGGATTCATATTTACGACGGTTGCACTATCTCCGGATCATGTAATCCCTTTTTGCGACCTTCTGGCCAGCGAATCCAGATTTTCTTTTTAACAACCTTTTTACCAACTTAACAACCGCAGCGATTCACTGAACAGCTGTGGGAAGAACGGTCGCAAAATGAGGCAAAACTCCCTTAGCAATTTTCACACTTAGCAACAGAAATTTGAGGCTCAATTGGGGGTCGTAAATTGAGGATCACCTGTATTATAATAAACTTGAATAATGATTTAAAATGGATTCCCGATAGACAATTGCAGCTTTTCATTCTGTCCCACTTAGGTTCCCCCACTCAGTCCTTCTCCGGGGCCCTTGATGTACCCCACTAGCATTGGGCCCATGGATAGCAGCGGGATGAGATCCAGATACCGCTCCTCGCCTACCGTCTACAACTCTCCCACGGGAAAAGCTGACTACATGACGGATTTGAAATCGCTCGACAGCTTCCTTCGAAACGAGGAGGAGAAACAGCACAGGGTGCAGCTGGGTGAGTAGTTGCCTGAACGAAAAGCGGGGAAGGTTCGCACAGCGCATTCACTGAAGTTACTCAGAAGATAAGTTGCTTGCAGTTCAGTGTGTATTGTGGTCCATTGGTTTAAGGCATTGGGTGAGAAATTGGGAGATTGTGAGTTCTAGTACCGCCTTAAGTGTGAAAGCTGGCTGGGTGACTTTGGACCAATCACCAGGAGATGGGGAGTTCTAGTAGGCATGAAAACTGGTGATTTTGAGCCAATCAGCAGGAGACGGTGAGTTCTAGTCCTGTTTTAGGCATGAAAACCGGTTGGGTGACTTTGGGTGAGTCACCAGGAGACAGTGAATTCTAGCCCCACCTTAGGCATGAAAGCCAGCTGGGTGACTTTGGGACAATCATCAGGTGATGGTGAGTTCTAGTCCTGCCTTAGGCATGAAAACCGGTTAGGTGACTTTGGTCCAATTACTAGGAGTCAGTGAGTTCTAGACTCTTTGAGTGGTTAGCTCAGTCACCCAACCGGATTTTGTGCCTAAGGCAGGACTAGAACTCACTGTCGCCTGGTTTCTAGTCGCCACGACATCAAGCTAGCTCTCTGATTTAGCCACCCAGCCCTAGGAGGCTGTAGTAAGATCCAGTACCTGTGTTGTAGTCCGCCAGCAGCCTGCGGAGCTGGCAGTGGAGTCCGACAGTGAGGAGGCTGGGGAGGAACATGGGCCAGTCCTGGAGTCTGGGGGAGGCTCAGACGAGGGCTTTGCGTCAGAGGCAGAGATGGGGCCAGGGCCATCTGGGAGCGATGCGCGGACTCTGGAGTCTCCAGAGGCGGATAGCAGAGAGGTAGAGGAACAGGAGGAGCCTGTTCCTAGTGTGTGCATGCGCAGAGCTGCCAGAAGGCAAGAACAGTTAAAACTAAAGGGACAACTCAGGAGTAAGGCCTGGAGATGATTGGCCCCTCCCATAAGGCTTAAAAGAGGAGCAAAGGCACATGGGCTCTTTGCAGGAAAGCAACGTTGTTAATTCTGTTCCCAGTCGGCATCTCTGTTTGATTCTGGACTCTGTGTGGCTTTGCCAAGTAGGTCTTTGGCAGCGTGTCAAGGGAGATAAAGGTTGGTGATTATTCCGAAGGACTTCTCCCAAAGGACTTTTTGCACAAAAAGTCCTTTGGGAATTGGGACTCAGCTGTGAATGAACGTAATTCACAGCTGTTGCAATAAAAGAGGTTTTTTGCATTGCTCAAGTAGGCTCATTTCTGTGTGTGTGTTTCTCTGGCTCATTGCAGGCAGTTCGGATTCGGGCTCTCCTTCAAACAGTCCGACTTTTTGGAACTACGGTCGCTCCATGGCTGACTACGCCCAGATGCTCCGGAAATTCCAGTACCAGCCGGCCTGCAGGTCCCAGGCCCCCTCGGCTCACAAGGACGAAGCCGATCTGAGTTCCAAGCAAGCCGCCGAAGAGGTAAACCACGTTGGCGGAGACAGAAAGGGTTGGTTCTCCGCAGGTGTTGATCCGGGTGACACCTTGTGAGTTTTGCCCCATGTTACGACCTTTCCGGCCACAGCTGTTCAGCGAATCGCTTCAGTTTTTAAGTGAGTCACAGGGTGGTTAATTGAATGTGGCTTTCCCCATTGTCGTTGCTTGTCAGAGATCTTGGAGATCTTCTAACCCAGCCCTCTCTACTCAAGCAGAAGACTCTGTACAAACTCTGTCCAGACAAATGGCTGCCCAGTCTCTTCTTAAAAAACCCCAGTGATGGAGCAATCACAATTTAATGGAGGCAAATCCATAATCAATTAAATGGATGAATTCTTCTAACTGTCGGGAAATTTCTCCTTAGTTTTAGGTTGCTTCTCTCCTTGATGAGTTTCCATCCGTTGCTTCTTCTCCTGCCTTCTGGTGCTTTGGAGAATAGCTTGACCCCCTCCTCTTTGGGGCAGCCCCTCAAATATTCAAAGACTGCTGTCATGTAATAGATAGATGATCAGAGATAGAGATAGATACGAGACAGACAGGCAAACAGACTGGGTGCTGTGGAGTTGATTTAAAACCTGAGTTGTTCCTACTGGGTATCCTACCAGAGAAAATTAGTAAAGAAAATGTATTTTTGATTATACGTATAATAACTGCAGCAAGAATAGTATTTGCACAAAGATGGAAAGCAGAGAAAATCCCTTTAGAAGGGGAAGTAATTAGAAAAATTTTGGACTGCGCAGAGATGAATAGATTAACTTTAACGATTAAAGAAAAAGAGGATGTGGAATATTTTAAGATAGGGGGAAATTTTATGATTGGATAGAAAAGAGATATAGATAAAGAATTTGATAAGCAGGAAAAAGTTACATTAAATATACACTGCTCAAAAAAATAAAGGGAACACAAGCAGAAGACATCCGAGATCTGAATGAATGAAATAGCCTTATTAAATACTTTGTTCGTTACATACAGTAGTTTTGTGTTCCCTTTAGTTGTTTGAGCAGTGTATAAACTACTGTTATATAAAGAACAAAGTATTTAATAAGGCTATTTCATTCATTCAGATCTCGGATGTCTTCTGCTTGCGTTCCCTTTATTTTTTTTGAGCACTGTATGTATTTTGGGGGAAATATTGAAATAGAGAAATGGGATTTATTAAGGAAGAAATAAGAAGAGGAGGAGTAACAAAAAGAAGAAGTCACCGAAGAAATACCGAGATGACACACAGAAGGACTGATATGTTTATCTTTATAAAAAAAAAAACCTTTTTATAAAAAAAAAAAGACTGGTGCTGTGGCCTGGGGGGGGAGCTCTCGCCTCACAATCAGGAGACTGTGAGTTTTGATCCTAGGTAGAGGCAGATATTTTCTCTCTCTGGCACAATGAGAATAGATCTGCTGAACAAAACTCTGCATTGGCGATAGGAAGGGCATCCTTCCTTCCCTCCTTCTTTCCTTGTCTTTTCTGCCTTGTGTCTCCTTCCTTTCTTCCTTCTTTCTTCCTTCCTTCCTTCCTTTTCTTCCTTGTCTTTCCTCCCTTGCTCCTTCCTTCCTGTCTTTCTTTCTTTCCTTCCTGTCTTTCTTTCTTTCCTTCCTGTCTTTCTTTCCTTCCTTCCTTCCTGTCTTTCCTTCCTTCCTTCCTTCCTTCCTTCCTTCCTGTCTTTCTTTCCTTCCTTCCTGCCTGCCTGCCTGCCTTCCTTCCTTCCTTCCTTCCTTCCTTCCTTCCTTCCTTCCTTCCTTCCTTCCTTTTTTTCCTCTTTGACCCTCCCTCCCAAGTTCAGGAGGCTGTGAGTTTGATCCTAGGTAGAGGCAGATATTTCTCTCTCTGGGCACAATGAGAATAGATCTGCTGAACAAAACTGCATTGGCGATAGGAAGGGCATCCGGCCAGTAAACACTCAGCTCCATTCAGTTGCCCGGACTCCAAGGGATTATGGGGTCATTAAAAGGGGATGATGATTGATAGAGATAGATGATGGATGGATGGATGGATAGATGGATGGATGGATAGATAGATAGATAGATAGATAGATAGATAGATAGATAGATAGATAGATAGATAAATTTCAAAACTTCTTTTCTCTTCCTGGCCAGGTCTGGGCACGGGTGTCGATGAGCAGACAGCTGTTCGATCATATGGATTCTTGGACTGCCAAATTCAGAAATGTGAGTTTTGCCTTTGGCCTGGTGTGTGTGTGTTCAAATGTGACACAGTCCTGGAAATTCCCTCCTGAGGTTGGGGCTTAGGGAAGGGACTCAGGCTAAATAGGGGTGATTGAACCGAAAGTGCACCTAGTCCTCGCCTTATGACCCCTCGCTTAGCGAAACCTAGAAACATAGAAAAGCGACAGCAGAAAAACATATAGAACGTGTCGCTCTTCTAACTTCTGTTGTCTTTCTTCCTCCCCCCCCAAATCTTTTTGGATCCGACAGTGGGTCAACGAGACAATTTTGGTGCCGCTGGTTCAAGAGATTGACTCTGTAAGCACTCAGCTGCGGAGAATGGGGTGTCCAGAGCTGCAGATTGGAGGTATGGTGACCCTTCGCAAAAAAACGTCGTGCCGTAATCATGTGCTCCCAAGTAAAATATATGGATTAAAATCGTAATTATTTTTTTTAAAAAACGAGCTTAGAATTTAGCAGCGTTATAGAGAAAAGGGCTTTTTCCTAGCTGGAAGCATCTGAAGTTGTCAACCCTGTAGGAAAAAAAACCAATTACGATAGAACATTTTATAGAGTTGCATTAATGTAAGATTGAAGATGGATAGACTTCAACTCCCAGAATTCCCAGCCAGCAAAGCTGTCTTTTAAATGCAGATGGACTGCTGAATCTTTTTCCTGATAGGTACCCCCAAAGGTGATTTTTCAAGAGGCAACTTGGACTTTCTGGTTTTTCTTTTGAAGACGTTTTGCTTCTCCTCCGAGAAGCTTCCTCAGCTCTGACTGGATGGTGGGGAATGGAAGGATTGATACTCCTTGCAGACAGCCGGTCATTTGCATCCTTTTTAGAGAGTCCTTGAGGCCACTTGGAGGCTTGTCTGTGTCCTCAGGATCACCCGAGTGGTGCAAATGGTTCCTGTAGTTTGCAATTTTTCCTCTGGAAATCCATTCCTACTCCCTTCTTGGATGAAGCTTCTGGGGTGAGAAGTGAAATGTCTTCAAAAGAAAAAAACCCAGAAAGTCCAGTCCAGAAAAAAGCACCTTTGTGACAACCACGACCTGGAGGACTGAGAATCTCTACAGAGCTTTAGCTCTATACAATTTGGGATGAATACCAGTGGTGAAATGTAAAATTTCTGTGAGCGTGGCTTGGTGGGTGGGTAGGTGGGTAGTGTGACTGGGTGGGCGTGGCCAACTTTTTTTTTTTTTTTACTTTTAAAACTTTTTTTTAAAATTTGATTTATATGCCACCCTTCTCTGGAGACTCAGGGTGGCTTACAATGCGTTGAGCAATAGCCTTCATACTTTTGTATATTTTATACAAAATCATCTTATTGCCCCTACAATCTGGGTCCTCGTTTTACCTATCTTAGAAAGGACGGAAGGCTGAGTCAACTTTGAGCCTGGTGAGATTTGAACTTGCAGTAATTGCAGGCAGCTGATGTTAATAACAGTGCTTTAGTCTGCTGCGCTACCAGGGCTCTACAACCGGCTGAAAAAATGCTTTTAAAAGTAAAAAAAAAAAAGCCTCTGATGATTGCACGGCTCAGCTGGGCATGGGGGGAGGGCAGGGATTTTTGCTACCGGTTCTCCGAACCACCCACCGCCATCGCTACCGGATCGGGTGATCTGGTCCGAACCAGGAGCATTTCACCTCTGATGAATACCCTTTGAATGGTGTGGGAGTAGGAATGGATTTCCAGAGGAAAAAATTGCAGAACTACAGGAACCATTTGCACCATTCAGAGGACACAGAGGAACCCCCAAGTGGCCTCAACAACCCTCTAAAAGGATGCAAATGACCAGCTGTCTGCAAGGAGTATCAATCCTTCCATTCCCCACCATCCGGTCAGAACGGAAGAAGCTTCTGGGATGAGAAGCCAAACGTCTTCAAAGAAAAATCCAGAAAGTCCAGTTGCCTCTTGGAAAAAAATAAAGTGTCAGCACCTCAGCGCTGTCATAGAAAAAGGGAGATAAGCCCTGAACTTTTGCCTGCTAAATCCCTTTGAAGCCTGGTCTCCGTGGAAATGAAGAGGGGGGGGGAACATTCCTGTGAAATGACGAGACAAGAAGTCAGGAGAGTGACTTGGAAGACAGCCAATGAGAAGGAGATAATTGGGGATCGGAAAGGGAGGGATTGGGGGGCAAAAGGTCAGTCTTGTCCGCATCGAGTCATGATCCGGTTGCTGTGCTCGAATAAAGAGATTTCCTTAAAGATTGACAGTTTGGAAATTCATTTATTTTGAGATAGCATCGAAGTCTGACATAAAGCCCCTTTGGGACAACTGTGACCTGGAGGTCTGAGAATCTCCGCAGACTTTTAGACGTCTTGAATGTTTTGCGCTGCAGAATCGAGAGCTCTCGGTTGCAGCTGCTGCTGCTGCTTCCGTTGGTGAGGTTGTCGCTTGAGTGAAAGGAAGTCCACAGCTGTTACCGAGACCCGAAACGGGGTTTTTTTTCCTGATGACGAAGGTTGCAGTTTCTCTCTCTCTATTTGTTGTCTGCAGAGGCCGGCCTGAGTAGCCTGAAGCAAGCTGCTTTGGTGAAAGCTCCCCTTATCCCGACCCTGAACACAATAGTTCAGTACTTGGAGCTGACCCCAAATCAGGAATATTTAGTAGAAAGGATCAAAGGTAAACGGCTACTTATTTCTATCCTGCCTTTATTGTCGGTTTATGAATCATGCAAGTCAGCAAACGTAACCTAATACTTCCCCACTCCTCCTGTTTGCCTCGCAACGACAACCCTGTGAGGTGGGCTGGGCTGAGAGAGAGAGCGATAGGACCAAAGTCATCCAGGTAGCTTTCGTGCCTAAGGCGGGACTAGAACTCTCAGTCTCCTGGTGATTGGTTCAAAGTCACCCAGCCGGCTTTCATGCCTAAGGCGGGACTAGAACTCACTGTCTCCTAGTGATTGGCCCAGGAATCAGTCAATTGGCTTTCGTTCCGAAGGTGAGACTAGAACTCCCCAGTCTCCTGGTGATTGGTTCAAAATAACCCAGCCGGCTTTCGTGCCTAAGGCGGGACTAGAACTCACTGTCTCCTAGTGATTGGCCCAGAATCAGTCAATTGGCTTTCGTTCCGAAGGTGAGACTAGAACTCCCAGTCTCCTGGTGATTGGTCCACAGTCACCCAGCCGGCTTTCGTGCCTAAGGCGGGACTAGAACTCACTGTCTCCTAGTGATTGGCCTGGAATCAATCAATTGGCTTTTGTTCCTAAGGTGAGACTAGAACTCCCAGTCTCCTGGTGATTGGTCCAGATTCACCCAGGCAGCTTTTCTGCCTAAGGCAGGACTAGAACTCCCAGTACTACAGATATACAGTTAATAAATAAACCCCCTTTCCCAATTGCTGTCGTAACCCGAGGACTACCTGTAGTAGAACTGGCGATGAAACCAATGAAAAAGATCTGGAAAAAACTATTTCCCTCCGTCTTGGCCATTCACAGTATTGTTTTCTGCTCACTGCCAGAGCTTTCCCAAGGCGGCTGCATGAGTTCGTTCAGGTGGAACCGAGGCGGAGACTTCAAAGCGCGCACCTGGGATACTGATTTACCCACGGACTCCGGAGTAAGTCCGCCTTAGTTGGTAAAAGCAGGTGTATCTGGTTCATTCTCCCTTTTCTGTTGCTAGCAAGGCTGCTGGCAGAGTTATTTATTTATTATCCATTTGTATCCTGCCTTTATTATTTTTACAAATAACTCAACCTCATAGAACACGTCTTCCTCCTTCTGCGTTCTTCCCCACAATGACAACAACCCTGTGATTTGGGCTGGGCTGAAAGAGGGAATGATTGGCCCAAAGTCACCTGGGCATGCTTTCATACCTAAGGTAGAACTAGAACTCACCATCTCTTGCTAATTGGCCCAAAGTCACCAAGACAGCCCAAGGCAGTACTAGAACTCACCCTCTCCCGGTGATTGGTCCAAAGCCATCCAGCTGATTTCCATACCTAAGGCAAAACTAGAACTCACTGTCTTTTGCTAATTGGCCCAAAGTCACCAGACTTGCTTTCGCACCTAAAATGGAACTATAACTCATCAACTCCTGCTAATTGGCCCAAGATCACCCAAGCAGCTTTTATGCCTAAGGTAGAACTAGAACTCACAGTCTCCTGGTGATTGGCCCAAAGTCACCCAGCTGTCTTTCATGCCTAAGGTGGGACTAGAACTCACCCTCTCTCAGTAATTGGCCCAAAGTCACCCAGGCGGCTTTCATGTCTAAGGAAGAACTAGAACTCACCCTCTCCCAGTAGTTGGCCCAAAGTCACCCAAGGTGGCTTTCATGCCTAAAAGGGGAACTAGAACTCGCCCTCCCCTGGTGATTGGCCCAAATTCACCCAGGCTATCATATCTAAGAAGGAACTAGAACTCACCCTCTCCCAGTAATTGGCCCAAAGTCACCCAGCTGGTTTTCATGCCTAAAGAGGAACTAGAACTCACCATCTCCTGGTGATTGGCCCAAATTCACCCAAGCAGCTTTCATGCCTAAGGTAGAACTAGAACTCACAGTCTCCTGGTGATTGGCCCAAAGTCACCCATTGGCATGCCTAAAGATGAACTAGAACTCACCATCTCCTGGTGATTGGCCCAAATTCACCCAAGCAGCTTTCATGCTAAGGTGGGACTTGAACTCACCCTCTCCCAGTAGTTGGCCCAAAGTCACCCAAGTGGCTTTCATGCCTAAAGAGGAACTAGAACTCACCATCTCCTGGGATTGGCCCAAATTCACCCAAGCAGCTTTCATGCCTAAGGTGGGACTAGAACTCACCCTCTCCCAGTAGTTGGCCCAAAGTCACCCAGGCGGCTATCATGCCTAAAATGGGACAAGAAATCGCCGCCGTTTTTTGGAAGTGTCCGACATGGCGCTAAATCCCAACCCCCCCTTCTCTCCCTCCAGATCCTTATGCACGTATTCTGCACGTATCTTGACTCCAGGCTGCCTCCCCATCCGAAGTATCCCGACGGGAAAACCTTCACCTCCCAGCATTTCATTCAAACCCCTGATAAACCAGGTAACGCAGGCTGTCTTTTTCTTCTTCTTCTTTTTTTTTTTTAAATGAGCGCAGCCTCAACTTAACAACCACAAACGTGGCTCCAGATTTCTATTGCTAAGCAAGACCATTTTGCCACCGTTGTTAAGCGAATCGCTGCCATTGTTAAGTTAGTAACCCGGTCGATAAACGAATCTTGGCTTCCCCATCGACTTTGCTTGTCAGAAGGTCGCAAAAGGGGTATCACGTAACCCTGGGAAACTGCAACCGTCGTAAGTATGAGTCAGCTGCCAAGCGCAGCACCACACCAGCCTCCTTGTTATAGGAAAAGAAATGGAACCAAGCCAAGCTCTTCGATGCAGGAAAAAGTTTATTGTGCACGGTTCAAACAGTCCAAAGACGAGCAAAGGGTCTGAACATTGATGGCTGCTTTTGGCCATGTATTTATACAGTTTAAAGGCAAAATTATTACAGAGAGTGATGCATTTCACACGTAGAAGCTGCCCTTTCATCTATCTCTAGGAAAGGAAGTAACAATCCCGTTCTCACAGGGATGAATAGAATAGAATAAAATAAGGAATAGAATAAGGAATAGAGTAAGGAATAGAATAGAATAAGAGATAGAATAGAATAAGAAACAGAATAGAATAGAATAGAAAAAGGAATAGAATAGAATAGAATAGAATAGAATAGAATAGAATAGAATATAGGAATAGAATAGAATAAGGAATAGAATAGAATAAAATAAGGAATAGAATAAGAAATAGAATAGAATAGAATAGAATAGAATAGAATAGAAAAAGAAATAGAATAGAATAGAATAGAATAGAATAGAATAAAATAAGGAATAGAATAAGAAATAGAATAGAATAAGAAACAATAGAATAGAATAGAAAAAGAAATAGAATAGAATAGAATAAGAAATAGAATAGAATAGAATAAGAAATAGAATGGAATGGAATGGAATGGAATGGAATAGAAAATAGGAATAGAATAAGGAATAGAATAGAATAAGAAATAGAATAGAAAGAATAGAATAGAATAGAATAGAATAGAATAGAATAGAATAGAATAGTCTTTATTGGCCAAGTGTGAGTGGACATACAAGGAATTTCTCTTGGTGCATATGCTCTCAGTGTACATAAAAGAAAAGATACGTTCGTCAAGAACCATAAGGTACAACACTTAAATGATAGTCATAGGGAACAACTAAGCAATCCGGAAACAGGAAACGCTTTACTTTTCTGTATAATATTTTATACGTAAAATATATTTTATGTATAACCAGCTGGACTCCCACCAACGGTAATCTGGAATTTCGTTTAATTTCGTTTTAATCGGGCTGTTAACAGACGTGGCTCTTCTCATTCACAGATATGACGAACGAGAATTTGTTCTGCGTCTATCAGAGCAGCATCAACCCTCCCCATTATGAGCTGATTTATCAACAACAGGTCTACAATCTTCCTAAGGTAGGAGTATGTGCAGCTTCTCCATGGCTTTTCATGAACAGAGAGGTTGCTGCTCACGGGGGGCCACCAGTGAAGATGGATAGGTCTCTGGGGCCCTGGGTGCTCACTGAACTTGGTTCTTTCCTTATAGACTTTTCACAACCAGACTAGGTTATATCATCAGTGCTAGAAGGGAGGAGGGAAACGTCTAGTTACTGATATTACCTAGTTGGGTTGTGAAATGTCTGCAAGAAAACAAAGTCAAAGAGTACTAAGGATCCCACATTTGTCTTCCTCCTCCCCGCCTCCCTTCTCCTTCACTCCACAAATGCCACTCCCTTTTAGCACTGATAATGTTGCCTAGTTGGGTCACAAGACGTCTGCAAGCAAAACCCCAAGCTCAGAGAGCACCAAGGATCCCACAGTCCTCCTCCTCCTCCTCCTCCCGCTTCTCTCTGCAAACCCCACTCCCTTTTTGCACTGATGATGTTACCTAGTTGGGTCATGAAACGTCTGCAAGAAAACCACCAAGCTCAGGGAGCACCAAGGGCTCCATAGTCGTCCTACCTTCTAGCCCTGATGATGTTACCTAGTTCGGTAATAAAATGTCTGCAGGAAAACAACCAAGTTCAGAGACCACCAAGGACCCCACAGTTCTTCTCCTCTTCCTCCTCCTCTTCCTCCTCCTCCCCCTCCCCCTCCTCCTTTCCACAAACCCCACTCCCTTCTAGCACTGATAATGTTGCCTAGCTGGGTCATGAAACATCTGCAAGAAAACCACCGCAGCTCAGAGAGCACCAAGGAAGCCATCCTCCTCCTCCTCTTCCTCCCTCTGTCATACCCATAGCAATGTTTCTCAACTGTGGCCGTTTTAAGACGCGTGGACTTCAACTCTGACGCCCTTTTTGTCATTCTTTAGCAACGCCAAATAGTTTTGGGTAAAAACAAAACAAGGCACACCAGGGAAGGAGAGAGAAAGACACACCTTGTTGCAAGTGTAAGCTAGTCGGGTTCTTTACCTGTTCGCCTTCTTTTCATCCCTCCTGTTTAGGGCAGAAACAACCTGTTTCACACTCTGCTTATGTTCCTGTACATCATCAAGACCAAGGAATCGGGGATGCTTGGGTACGTATGATTATTCGATATATTTCTGTCTCCACATCTAATACAGGAAATCCTCCGCTTAGGACCGCAATTGAGCCTAAAATTCTCTTCTCTTCTCTTCTCTTCTCTTCTCTTCTCTTCTCTTCTCTTCTCTTCTCTTCTCTTCTCTTCTTCATTATTCTGTTCTGTTCTGTTCTATTATTCTATTTTATTCTATTCTGCATTATTCTGTTCTGTTCTATTATTTTATTTTATTCTATTCTATTCTATTCTTCATTATTCTGTTCTGTTCTGTTCTGTTTCTCTTCTCTTCTCTTCTTCATTATTCTGTTCTGTTCTGTTCTATTATTCTATTTTATTCTATTCTGCATTATTCTGTTCTGTTCGATTATTTTATTTTATTCTATTCTATTCTATTCTTCATTATTCTGTTCTGTTCTGTTCTATTATTCTATTTTATTCTATTCTATTCTATTAATTATTCTGTTCTGTTCTATTATTCTATTTTATTCTATTCAATTCAATTCTATTTTTCATTATTCTGTCTGTTCTATTCTGTTTTATTCTATTCTATTCATTCTGTTCTGTTTATTCTATTCTATTCATTATTCTGTTCTGTTCTATTATTCTATTTTATTCTATTCTATTCTATTCTATTCTTCATTCTGTTCTGTTCTATTCTATTCTTCAATATTCTGTTCTGTTCTATTATTCTATTCTATTCTACTCTATTCTTCATTCTGTTCTGTTCTATTCTATTCTATTCTATTCTTCATTATTCTGTTCTGTTCTATTATTCTACTTTATTCAATTCTATTCTATTCTATTCTATTCTATTCATGTTTGCTGAGTGAGAAATTTGTTGAGCGGGTTTTGCCCCGTTTTACGACTTTCCTCGCCACAGTGGTTAAGCGAACTGCCGCCATTCTTAAATTAGTCACGGTCGTTGAATGGATCCAGCTTCCCCCCATGGACTTTGCTTGTCGGATGGTCGCAAAAGGGGATCACCTTGCCAGCAAAAACGGGGCACGGGGCTCCCCCCACCCCCAGGACACTGCAGCCTGTCATTAAGTATGAGTCGGTTGTCAGGCATCTAACCTAATCCATTTTATCAGCTTTAGATCGAATTTGTTCATGATCCGTCTAATCGGTTTCAGGTTGAATTTGAACAGGGGCAGGAGGCGAAGGAGGCGCAGTGAGGGAGGCCGAACCCAGCCGGCCACTTAAAAGACGTGTGGACTTCAGTTCCCAGAATTCCTCAGGCTCCCATCTTTCTCTCCCCCCCCTTTTTTTCCTGCTGTCTGGTGTTAAAGCAAAATGAAATTGAAACCATCTACAACAGAGGTGTCAAACTCAAGGCCTGTGGGATCCAGCCTGGAAATAGCAAAGGACTGGCCCACGGTGCCTCTGCCAGTCAAAATGGGGTGTGAGGGGGGCTGCACAGGGCGCCCCCCACCCAATTTTCAGCCTGGACAGCCTCCTGCCAATCAAAACGGCATGGGGGGGGCCCACATGAGCCCCGTGCCCCGTTTTTGCTGGCAGGGTAGTGCAGGAGGCTGTTCAGGCCAAAAATGGGGCACGGGGAGCCACATGTGCCCCCCACACACCCCATTTTGGCCAGCAGGGTAGTGCAGAAAGCATCCGTCCTGTCTCTGCCCCTCCTCCTTTCCCGGCCAGCCCGCAAAGGAGAACTACAATGCTTACTCGGCCCTTGACGAAATTCAGTTTGACACCCCTGATTTATAACATCGGTGGGCCAGTGTGCAAGCATGCACCTCGATTCGCGTGAGTGGTGGGCCGGCATATATACACACACACACACACAAGTGCCCACCAGCCCGATGCGCTCATAAGTCGTGCTGCCAATGCAGGGTTTCCAATCAGCAACTCGCAGGGCCCAATTCCAAATAGGCCACAGCCCGTTAGTGGGCCGCAGGAATTGTGGACCCCTGATCTACAACTAAACAGATGGCTTTTTCAAACCTATTCTTTCCTAATAGTTCTCCAAATAATAATAATAATAATAATAATAATAAATGTGATTTTTGGTGCCTATGTTCTGTCCCCGTCTCACACACGCACACAAACAGACAGCCAGGGGTTAAATAAAACTGGCAGACAACAAATTCTTTCAATAAGAGGATTGGCAGCAACCCAGTAGCTGCTTGCCAAGAACTTTACTCATAGAGGGAGGGGTTGTTCCTCCGACAGATAAACCCAAACAAGATACACACAGTTCAAGAATTGTCAAGTCCAGTCCGTATTAAATCCAAGGCAGATAACGTTGTTTCCAAAGATACAATGTGACTCACTAGTAGTTTAGTTTTGTCCGTCACAGAGTCTGAATGGCCACCTCACCCCCTTTTATCCCCTGTGGGGTGTGGTCCAGTGACTCAGCTTAATCTCTGGCACGCCTCCTTTTCTGCTGCGTGCGCCTGTCTCTCCGACGCTGGCGTGGATCCAGCCAAGACTTATCTCCATCACTGTCCGACTGCGAGGAGATACCTGGCTCCTGGCCAATCTCTTCTCTTTCGGGAGACACCTGAAGCATTGCCAGAGAGGAGGGTCCTGGAGAGGGAGGCCTGGCCAACTCCTCTCCTTCATGTTCGGAGCCTTCTCCCTCCGATAAGTCGGCCTCGGGGGTCGGAGTCACAACACCATAACAAGATTTTAAAAAATACAGCAGCTAGTGGAAAAAAACCCAGATCTTGTCTCCGGCTCTGAAATTCATCACACACGTCTGATTTTGCACGGTTTATTTCTAGCTGGAGAGAGAATTCGTCAAATCCTTGATCTCCGACGAAACCTTTGTGATCTCATAATAAAGGCTGTCCTTCTCTTCGCAGGCGAGTCAACCTCGGATTATCTGGCGTGAACGTTCTCTGGATTTTTGGAGACTAGCTGGGTTTTTTTTCCCCCCCGGCCACGAACTCTTTTTTTTAACTCCGAGAGGATAAATTCCATCCCTAGGATGAGAATTTAGCTCTGTACTGCCTTGAATTTCACTGCCATACGAAGAAAAAAGGTGCTTTATTTTTATTTTTACAACAACGGAAGAGTCGCGAAAAATCATATTTTTCATGCCGTTTCTGCACAGGAGGTTTAAACCGAAGGAACGTTGAATTACCTTACTCGATAAACGGAATTGCTTTTTTTTGAAAAATTTCGGAGTAAATCAGCCTGAAGGGAATCTGGTTTCCTTCCCTCCATTGATCAGAACCCCAAATCACACTTTTGAACCAAATCCGGACTCCCTAAATGCCCTAAGGATTTATTGCTTCTCTACAACCGATACTTTAAATAATAACACTAATCGGAAAAACCCGAAAAGGATATATTTTAAAAATCAGGATCCTGTGCCGTTTGGCTTCTCCTTTTCACCTGTGCTTTTTTTGACGGCTAGCAATGAAAAGTCGTAACGCGTTTTGTCTTACTTGGTGGGCGTGGTTTTCAATGAAAATATTCCTTATTCCCAGAGCCGCCGTTTAGATCTGGTTTCACTTTGAGAACACTCCGAAACATGATTTTTAAAACTTTTTTTTTTTAAAGGTATTTTTGAACAGGATTGGGGTGGGGTTTTATTTTGTTTTTTTGCAGGATTTTTGAAAAATTGAACTTCACGCCGTCAATTCCATCAAGAGATCTTTCTGGGGGAAAAAAATACGTTTTTTTTTTTCCTTCTTCTAACTAGACAATGGAAGAAGAGACGTTGTTAGAATAATGTATATAGTTTTTTTCCAATAGCTATAACAGTATTTCTCAAGTTTAAGATAGGGGGACTTTCCAGCTCCCAGAATTCCCCCTATCTTAAACTTGCCAAAATTGACAAAGGCATACAACAGTGTTGGTGAACCTTTCCGGCACAGAAATGGGAGCGCATATGCGTGTGGGGGGGACCACCGGAAACCAGAAGAGCAGCTTCCCGGCGTGCATGAACGCGCTGGGAAGCTGAGCTTCCGGTTTCCGGCATGGGCATGCACGCCGATCACGTGGTCTTCCAGTTTCTTGCACGCATGCACGTGTGAAGACCAGCTGGCTGGCACGCATGTGTGCACCAGAAACCGGATAGCTCAGCTTCCCGGTGCGCGCATGCACGCCAGGGAGCTGCTCTTCGGTTTCTGGGTGTTTCCACATGCGCAAACACCAGCTGGCTGGCGCGCATGTGCACGCTGGAACCTGGAAGAGTGACGGCTGGTGTGCCCGGAGAAATGGCTCTGCGTGCCACTTCTGGCACGCGTGCCATAGGTTCATCATCACGGGCATACAAGAATCCCTGCCATACAAGCATTCGCACCCGAGGCTGCAGGGAAAAAAATACCTAGCTTGCGAATATCTTGATGGGAAATCCCGCAATTAATTTTCCTCCAAAATAACACTCACCCGAGCGGAAAAATGAATTGCATCCTTCGTCACCCCGCGATGAGCGAAAGGTTTAAAAACTACCTCTTTACTACGGCGGCCGTGGGACTCATAAAAGCGATATAAATCTTACCCGCTTCTCTTCAAAGCAACTTTTTAAAAAGGTGATATTTTTTTTTGCTAATATTCCACTGAAAGATTAGCAACTGCAATGCTGTGCTTTTTTTACAAACTTTTTGCTCCGCGTCTTAAGACGTCCTGCGCTACCAAACGTTAACCCGAGTTGTGTTTCTCGCTGGGTTGCAACCTGATCGTAAAGCAAGGCAAGTTGCCTTAACGCTGTTTGTGTGTTGTGTTACACTCAAGTACAAGCAAGCTAGTGTGATATTGGCCAGGGATGTGTCTTGCAGCTGGGGGAAATGATATTTTGTCATTGTGGGTCTTCCTTGTCAGTGCCGAGATATTTTGGGGGGAGTGGGGGAGTCTTGGTACTGATATTAAATGGAATTATTTTGGTTAATCCTGTCTCGACGTCTGTTTGAGTCCCTGATTTTCCAGCTGCTATTTTTCTGGTCTTTTTGTCCCGTCTTCTTTTCGACGTAATTCAAAACAAGAAGTGAATTGCTCTGCCATCTTTAGCCCAGACAGGCGGTCCTTGACTTACAACTGTTTGCTTAGAGACCAAACTTACAACAGCACTGAAAAAAAAGGTCACTTATGATGGTTCTTCACACTTAACGACCGTCGCAACATCCCCACGCTCACGTGATCAAAATTCGAGCAACTGGCATGTACTTAACGACGGTTGTACTGTCCCGGGGGGGGTCACGCGATCTCCTCTTACGACCCTCCCAGCCGACGTCCAACAAGCAGTCAATGGGAGAAGCCAGATTGCTTAACAGCAGTGTGATTCAATTAACAACTGCAGTGGTTCACTTAACGACGGTGGCAAAAAAAAGGGCTTACTATCGTGGTGTTCACTTAATGACAACCGTGAGAAAAAAAAGTCATAAAAACAGGTTGGTTTTCTGGGTGATCTGCGTTGGGATTTACAACCATCGGCAGGAATCCATTACGGTCGTAAATCGAGGATTACCTGTGTGTGCTGCCGTTTTGAACAGACATCCTGTAGCTCCAGGTGGCCGAGCCATAAATGTTGGGAGACCATTCCTGGCAGTCCTCGACTTACAACCATCCGTTTAGTGACCGTTCACAGTGGAAAAAGTACTTAGGGCCGTTTTTTCACACTTACGACCGTTTCAGCATCCTCATGGTCACATGATCAAAATTTAGACAATTGGCAACTGGCATGGACTTACGACAGTCGCAGTGTCCCCGGGTTACCGTGATCCCCTTTTGCGACCTGACAAGCAAAGTCCACTGGGAAGCCGGATTCACTTAACAACCACATGACTAATTTAACTGCGGTGATTCACTTAACGACAGTGGCAAGAAAAAGCCATAAAATGGGCCAAAAATCATTTAATAGCTGTCTTGCTTAGCAATGGAAATTTTGGTCTCCACTGTCGTAAGTCGAGGACTAACCTGTAAAATCCAGCGATCCCATTCTTAGGACTCTCTGCCCCACCTCAATTTAAAAAAAAAAAAAAATGCTTAAAATTCTTTATTATAAAGGGGAAGATGGGATGATTGGTGCTCTTGTGATTCGTGTCAGGAGATACGCCGCTGCCATAAAAATTAAAAATATTCGGTGTCCGGATGGAATCTTTTGAGTCCTGTCAAATCCATTATCTATACGTGAACTTTGAATGACGACGCCTCCCATTTTGTACAATAAGCTCCATGCAACTTTTTTAAAAAGGGGTTTTAAAATAGAAATAGAAATATAAAATATCAGGCGCCGTCCATCTCGTGGTACCTCGCAGTCCTCGACTTACAACCGAAATGGGACAGTCGTAAATCGTGACGGTTGCAAAGCCAGTCGCCCGCGCGAACGACCTGACGTTACAGTCATTTTTTTTTTTTAGCGGCCGTCATAATGGCGAACCCTGATAGTCGTTAAGCAAATGACTAATAAGGTTGGCAGGCAAAAAAAAGTTTTGTGTGTGTGAATTGGCTCGATTTATTAAGAATAAATCGAATGTATTAACAAAGAAGGTTGTTAACGCAAACCGATTGGACATCGGGGGGGCATTTTTGAAGGAACAAAGTGCCAGTTTTCTGTACCATTTGGAGGATTCTGTCATAACTTTTGATTTAAGCAACTGGTGGTCGTATGTTGAGGACCGCTTGTCCCAGACTTCTGGTTCGCACCTTTTTAAAAAAAGAGAGAAATTAAACTAGGTTAGATGGGGGTTGTGGGGTTTGTATCAGAGCAGTAGTCACTACCTCCAAAAGTTGGCTAGTGCAGCCCGAGTGTTACGTCCCAAACCTTTTGCAACAAACTCAGTTGAACTTCATCTTGGCTTTCTGGAAATAAAAGAGGAAAAACAGATCTTGGCAAAGGTGTAAAGCAAGGAGTGTCCAACTGTAGTCACTTTAAGACCGGTGGACTTCAACTCCCAGAATCCCTCAGCCAGCCAAACATCTGCAAGGAAGCAACCAAATTCGTACTCCAGTCCTCCTCCTTCCTCTCCACAAACCTCCCTCCCTGCTAGCTCTGATGATGTTCCCTAGTTGGGTCATGAAACGTCTGCAAGAGAGCAACCAAGGACCCCACAGTTCTCCTCCTCCTCCTCCTCTGCAAACCCTACTCTCTTCTAGCACTGATGAAGTTCCCTAGTTGGGTCATGAAACGTCTGCAAGGAAACCCCCAAGCTCAGAGAGCACCAAGGACCCCCACAGTTCAACTCGGAGCTGCTGCAAAGCTCTATAGCACAACTGCAAAGGTTGTTAACACACTGACCCAGTTAACAACTTGGGCTGAGCAGTAAGGATTCCAGTCCTCCTCCTCCTCCCTCCTTCAGCTTCCTCCCCTCCCTTTCATTCCTCCTCTTCCTCCTTCTCCTTTCCCCCACAAACCCCTCTCACTGATGAAGTTCCCTAGTTGGGTCAAGAAACGTCTGCAAGGAAACCCCCAAGCTCAGAGAGCACCAAGGATCCCTACAGCCCATTCTTTCTTTCTTTCTTCCTTCCTTCCTTCCTTCCTTCCTCTTCTCCCTCCCTCCCTTTTTCTCCTTCCTTCCTTCCTTCCATCCTCCTTCCCTCCTTCCTTCCTCCCTCCCTCCCTCCCTCTCTTCCCCTCCTTCCTCTTTCTCCTTCCTTCCTTCCTTCCTTCCTCTTCTCCCTCCCTCCCTTTTTCTCCTTCCTTCCTTCCTTCCATCCTCCTTCCTCTTTCTCACTTCCTCCCTCCCTCCCTCTTCTCCTTCCTTCCTTCCTCCCTTCCTCTTTCTCCTCCCTTCCTCCCTCCCTCTTTCTCCTCTTCCTTCCTTCTATCCTTCCTCCCTCCCTCTTCTCCTTCCTTCCTTCCTCCCTTCCTCTTTCTTCTCCCTTCCTTCCATCCTCCCTTCCTTCCTCTTTCTCCTTCCCTCCTTCCATCCTCCTTTCTCCTTCCTTCCTCCCTCCCTCCCTCTCTTCCCCGCTCCTTCCTCTTTCTCTCCTTCCTTCCTTCCTTCCTTCCTCTTCTCCCTCCCTCCTTTTTCTCCTCCCTCCCTCCCTCCCACCCTCTCCCTCTCCTCCTCCCTCCCTTTCTCCTCCTCCTTCCTTCCTCCCTCCCTTTCTCCTCCTTCCTTCCTTTCTCCCTCCCTCCCTCTTTCTCCTTCCTTCCTCCCTTCTTCCTTCCTCCCTTCCTCTTTCTTCTCCCTTCCTTCCATCCTCCCTCCCTTCCTCTTTCTCCTTCCTTCCTTCCACCCTCCCTCTTTCTCCTCTTCCTTCCTTCTATCCTCCCTCCCTCCCACCTTCCCTTTCTCCTTCCTCCCTCCCTCTCCTTCCTCCCTCCCTCCCTCCCTCCCTCCTCTCCACAAACTCCTCCTCCTCAGCACTGATGAAGTTCCCTACTTGGGTCATGAAACGTCCGCCAGGAGACCCCCCCCCCCCCCCCCGGGGGCCCCCCCCCCCCCCCCCCCCCCCCCCACGCCCTGCCTTGAAAGCCCCCGCGCACGTCCCTGCCTCGCCCGGCTCCTCCGCAGCCTCCGCAGCCGCCTCGCTCCCTCCGGCCATGTCCCGCGAGTGGGAGCTGGGCAGCCGCCGCCGCCGCCGCTCCACGCAGGACGGCTACGGTGAGTGAGGGGCTCCCCTGCCGCCAGCTGGGAAGGTTGGGCATGGGAGTCCTGCTCCCAGTTGGGGGGGGAGGAGGGCGGCTGGGAAGGATGGGCCTGGGAGTCCTGCACTCAGCTGGGGGGGAGGGTGGCTGGGAAGGATGGCCATGGGAGTCCTGCTCCCAGTTGGGGGGAGGAGTGCAGCTGGGAAGGATGGGCATGGGAGTCCTTCTCCCAGTTGGGGGAAGGGGGACTGGGAGGGATGGGCATGGGAGTCCTGCCCTCAGCTGGAAGGGGGAGGGTGGCTGCGAAGGATGGGAGTCCTGCCCCCAGCTGGGAAGGATGGATGTGGGAATCCTGCCCTCAGTTGGGGGGAGGGCAGCTAGGAAGGATGGGCATGGGAGTCCTGCTCCCAGTTAAGGAGAGAGCGGCTGGGAGGGATGGGAGTCCTGCCCCCAGCTGGGAAGGATGGACATGGGAGTCCTGCTCCCAGTTAAGGAGAGAGCGGCTGGGAGGGATGGGAGTCCTGCCCCCAGCTGGGAAGGATGGGGATGGGAGTCCTGCACCCAGCTGGGGTTAGGCAGAGTTAGTTTTTCCTGCGTTCAGGGGAGGGGGGGGCTTGGGGAAAGGTCTTTCTGAACGCACCCCAGGGTCGCTCAGGGCTGGCCACAGCGTGATGGGGGCAGGCAAGGGTCCCCCAAAATCCAGCCCTGAAGGAAACCTCGTCTTGCACTCCAGAAACTACCTGCAGCGCAAATGACAACTTTGGAAAGCACACGAAACTCAAAACTTTTCCTTGGCCGGCTTTGGGTTTCTGTGAGCATTGATTGAAAGGAGGAGGAGGAGGAGGAGGAGGAGGAGGAGGAGGAGGAGGAAGAAATGGACTATGGGTTCCTGAGTGTTCTCTGAGCTTGGTTGTTTTCTGGCAGACGTTTCATGACCCAACTAGTTAACGTTATCAGTGCCAGAAGGGAGTGAGGTTCGCAGAGAGGAGGAGGAGGAGGAGGAGGAGGAGGAGGAGGAGGAGGAGGAGGAGGAGGAGGAAATGGACTATGGGCTCCTTGGTGCTCTATGAGCTTGGTGGTTTTCTTGCTGATTTTTGATTGCCAAACTTCACATCATCACTGCTCAGTACGCTGATAATGTTACCTAGTTTGGTCATGAAACGTTCGCAAGAAAACCACCCAGCTGAGGGAGCACCCAGGAACCCCACATATTGATAGTGGAAATGCTGTGTTTGGCCTTTTATTTAATGTTACTGATGCTCATGACTGGTTGTGTTTCGATCACGTTTTAACCATCAGCCATCCAGACTCACGGATGTGAGATAGCAAAAATGTTGAATACAAAACCGAAATAAATA